ATCATCATCATCATCATCATCATCATCATCATCATCATCTATTAAACTTGTATGCTGCCTGACTCTCAATGACTCTGGGTGGTTCACAACAAACAAATTACAATAAAATCAATTATCATTTGTGTTTTGGGATTTTCCCACAGGGCCATTCTGTCAGAATTAGGCAGAGGCCATAGGTTGCTGATCCATTCTCACCCTGAGCTAATGCTTGGAATGTGTGTGAGCACTTGATTTGGATCCCAGAAGCCTCTTTTGGGAAATGTTTCTTTAATGTAAGAAAACATGTTTGTAAGAAACCCTTTGTGAAAGATAATTTGGCTGAGAATTCTTTCATGCTGCAAAACAGGCTAAATTTACCAGCAATCTATTAAATTTTGGGTCCCAGAGGTGGCACCTGTAGGCATCAGTAGACCAGATCTCTTGGCACCACCCACATTCTTGGACCATCTGATCTAATTTTTTAAAGGTATTCTTTGAAAACAATGGGAAGAAGGTGCGCTGCAAAGCAAAGCACTATCCTCTGGTGTAGCGTGTATTTTCAGCAACGCCTGTGAGTCCTACAGAGACCCCAGAGTCATTCTTAGAAAATAAAATAATGGATGGCCTAGTGTTTTATTTGGGAGTGAGCAAAAAAAGACCAAGATAAACTAAAGTAATAGGAAGCATCCTGAGCAGGTGTGACAGTGAGATCCATTTTCATGGTTAGTGTTCTGGTAAATGGATATTTTGTGATTGGCCATTCCACCATGGCAGCTATTTGTGAGAATGCCAATACAGTAGTTTCAAAAGGCCAGCTATGTCCCCTGGTGCAAAAGCTTTGGGAGCTCCTGCATGAAGTAGATTAAAATAGGCAACAGTGCAATTAGGTAATTTCAGACTTTGGACTTGACAGTCCTCCAGGAACTCTTTTGTTTAGGTGCTTATTACTTTGCTTATTCCCAAACATGGAAACTTAGTCCCGATGCCTTTGTGGCTTCTCCTACTTATTTTATCCACTAAGAGCAATACAGATGCCTAATAATTATACAAAGCCAGGCTGATGTAAAAGCTCCTCACGACTAACTTTACACAACCCTGTTCCTTTCTGTAACTGAAGCTCTGAGCCCACTTAATGCAGAGAAGGAGGTACAGTCCCAATGAAGTCTTATTAGAATTTCTAATATTAAACTGAACTGATTGCCATTCTAATAACCGCTATCCAAAATGCTTACTATGCAGAAACAGCAGAGTAAACCCTGTACTGGTGCCTGTAGGTTATCATGGACAGTAGACTAGGCGCCATGTTGCATGTATTTCTCTTTTCTCCTTGACCCTGCTTTTTTTTTTTTGCTGGCAAGAACATAACTTCCCACTGATTGCACATTATTCCAATTAAGAGACTTTCAGTAATAGAATCCACTTTGCTCAGTAGATGAAAAGAAGCCACCAACTGTTTTTCTTATCGGATTATTTGCTGTTTCATTTCAGAATCCTGATAGGATTGTGGTTGATAAGAGCTTGGCATTATCTGAAGATGGCGGCATCATTACCAAGAACTACAGTATCTCTGACATTTCAGTGTGAGTGGCAAAAGCAGGGGTACGGAAGGATTAAACAAAAAATTATTTTCAATCACAGCCTCAGTAGTCCCGCATAATATCTTCCTGAAGCCTGGCATTGTCTATATATCTTGGGATTACAACTCTGAGAATCCCCATCCAGCCTGGAAGGCACCAACTGGGGGGAAGCTGGTCTAGTTCCATTTTCATTTAGGACATATGTATCATAGTTCACTTGTGTTACAACTACAGCAATTGTCACTGACTTCCAAGGCCTGCAAGTTGCAAACCAGCAGTGCAGGAATAAGAATGGATGAACAGGAAGGGAATTATATTGGTAATCCAGTCTTAAATTTTTATTGTTGGTCACACAGTCAGCCAGATGTTTAGACTGGATGTCGCATTTTTATCCACCTATTGAGTCC